TGACAGACACTGTATATTTTTAATATTGAGCTGAAATTCTAAAATGGAATTTCAATTTTATAATGTTAGGAGTTTTTAATGGCTTATGAATGCTGTATTAAACACAAGCTGTCAATAATTTCAGATGGTTAATGTAAACTACAGTGTCAGTACAGAGTAGGTAGAAAATGAAGAAGTAGAATGAGGCCTTCGCTTCTTTGGACCACATGATTTGTATGAAAGCAGGGAAGACTCTCTTAGATTTGTACCTGCTGTAGCTTCAAGCTCAGTCTGGATCCAGATAAGTATTTATGTTCTTAATTTCTAGCCATTTGCCAAATCTACTCAGTGTTTTCTATTATTTGATTTAGTTGTTATGCTTAAGCAATAGTAGTCATAAATCTTCTTCATAAATCTGCTCCTCATCCTTACTGTTAGTCAACTCCAAATTACATTGAAGTTGCCATTTTATTTATTTATTTATTTTTTGTATAAATGTGTTCAAATGAAACACAAAGTAATGAGAATCTCTCTGGAACCATCTTAATGCTTATTATGTGTCTAGGTTGTGTCCCTCCTTGTACTATTAGAAGTATTCTGTCACTAAGAGACAGAGAAGACTTCACTAAAAGAAATAAAATAAAACATATATCATCAATATAAATTAAGATGGAAAAAGATATCTTGGGGATAAATAAACCAAATATGAAATTTTTAATCATAAAGAATTTTGTTTTATCTATGTAATTTTGATACTTGCAGAGAGCTGGCCTTCATCTGACCAGGCAAAGGAATGTTTTTTTCTCTAGAGAATCAGTGCTTTTTTTGCACAACTACCTGCCAAAGCTTGCACTTTCATAATTACACATTCAAAACATGCTTGAGGAACTTCAAAGTTCATGTTTAGGCTGACTAAAATTTGGTATTGATATAACTCCCCCAGTGTACCCAATTACTTTGCTCTATCACTTGTTGTAAATAAGGAAGAAGCTTTGACTTTTTTTCTGTCTTTTTTTCTATGAAACAATCATTCTTATTCCAAAGCAGTACGCAAAGATAATAGGCTCATCAGGTATTCCCTTTAGACAATGATCAGGAACACTTGCTGAAACTTTTAATCTGGTTACTCCCTAAAATAGAGTAAAACCCACCCTACAGCCAAAATGCCTACATTCTGGTCTAAGACTTCAGTGAATGCATCTAGTGAAGAGGAATAAGAAAAGGTGTGCTCTCCCCAGTGTCATAAAAGTTTAGAAACCAATAAGCACCTTTATTAGTACGTATCAATAGTGTTCTTTCAGTGTTATGATTCAGTGCTGCATTTCCAAATGAATTTTGAAATCATTTTTTTGTGCCTGATATACTGCAGTTCGATTTGAAAATGTTGGTGCAATCACCATCTAAGCACAAACCCAAATGTATTGAACTGAACAAATTGCTACAATAACAAACTCAGACTTTAATTTTGCAGTTTCTCAGGCTGTGGTCGTGAAACAAAGAGTAGTTCAGGCAGAAACTGCACAGTGCTGCATAGCTGGATGAGAGCACGTGCGAGTTGCAACTTGCAACGTGTGTTTGAAGAGCAGTGCAGAGCAGCATGCCAGATCTTTTATCTGTATCAAGGCACAACCAACAGCAGGTTAGTACTGGGCTACTAGTTAGGGGATCTCAGTAAAAAAGCAGTAAACTCATTCTGAAAAAAAAATCACTGTAGATTAACAATAGTCTAAATAGCTAAAGGCTTTAATTAATAACAAGCACTGCACTTTGGTTCCTAAAATAGCACCTAATTACCTAGTATTTCTTTGCTTTCAATGGAGAAATAGGTGCAGCTCCAGAGAATGACTCAGAAATTACTGGAGGTAACTAGATATTCCTATTGGCTGCTAAGGGTATCTACTGTAGACTGAGACTAGATCCAAAATGGATGAATCCTCTTCATGATCGGTACTAATAATGGGATGATAATATAACCCTTATTGTCAGACTAGTCTCATGCCTGTATTGCTATCTCTTATGAATTTACTGGGAAATGTGACCAAAGAAAATGTAAAGGTTCTGGAGAAGCACTGAAAATATATTCGGTCTTTGGTACCATTATGCAGTGCAGTCTTGCAGTTCACAATTTAACAAATACACTGCAATATGATCTCCTCATGTAAGGTACTGAGACAACCAGCCTGAATTTTTATGCAAAATTTGCATGGAAAACATTTTTCCTACAGAGAGATTGCATATTCCCCTCACAAATAAATCTTGATAAATTTGTAGATAAAAATAGCATGGTACATGCTGCAAGTTAGTAAATGATCACATGCAATAGGTACTGACTTTAAATAGAAAACAAATGAACAAACAAAATCCCAAACTCAAACCACTCTCCCCTCCCTTGACTGGATCTAGTATTGACAGAGCTTGGACACCAGGGAAAATGGGGACTGTATGTTCCCAAAGAAAACACCACAGGAAATTAACCACTCACTGTTTCAGAGTTGCTTCCTCTTTTGTGCTTATGAATATGTGTTCAAAAGCTTAAGACTTCTAACTTCTGCACCTTAATTTAAGAGCTGGATTTCATTTTCTCTTCACCTGACATCACAATACAGGCACAAAGCACCATAAGGGAACACTTTCTAAAATCAAATCATATCTGCAAGTTAATTCTGAATATGCAGATTTAATCCCAGATCTGAGTTTCAATTTAAAAAGCCATAACTGAAATGTAAGAAAATACCCAGCTAAATGGAAGTGGCACAATTTATAGAACATTGTCAAGAAATGGGAAGTTGCCCAAAGTCTGCAGTACCAGTCAGTTTTTAATTGTATTACTATAAATTAAAACTAAATACACTTGCTGGAGTAGGATCAAATTCAATTTGATTGTAAATGAAATAAAACACACTCCACTAAGGTATAACACAGGAAAAAACAAACAAACAAATATGCATACAGAGATTTCTATAATTTCTATAATTCTGCAACCTAGACATTGCAAGTGCTATTACTCCAGCTTATAACTAGAAAAACTAGAGTAGAAATTGAGTTATCTGACTCTATCCAGCCTCATTGCTAACTGTTTCACTCTATTTAAAATTTCTGTTTTGGCTTGATTTCTCTTTCCTTAGGAACAATGCAATCCAAGCAGTTCTTAATACTTCCAAAATTCTGAGCTGCAAAACTGAGCAATTCTGAGCAATGGTGTATTGAGAGGTTTCTTCCACTGATATTTCAGAACATACATGCCTAAGAGTGTACATAGTTAACTAGTGTTGCCCAACAAAATATGCTATGCTTTTCTGCTCCAAGTCTGTTTCTCCATCAAAGCAAACACAGAAATTAGAAAAGAAATCCAGAAAACTAAATTTAGCCACAAAAGGTGCTGCTCAAATCAGGGCTTATGAAAACAATGTAAGGAGAGCTGTACACCCCAGCCAAGACTCAGTCCTCTGGGTTAGGCTTGTTCCAGTCAAGAGCTGAAGATGACCTTTGTTGGTTGATGAATAGTGTTTAGAGAGGGTGATTTAACTGAAGTCTTATCCTAACATCTTCACAGTTATGCATAGAAAAATGATTTTTTACATCCCTCATTTAATTTCTTCCAAAGATGGAGACTCAAGAAAGCTGATAATAATAATAATGGAAGTATTTATCTTCTAGAGAAATAATCTTGATCAGAACAAATTCTACGCATTGTCATCATATCTGTATATTCTCTGAAGTCTTCTTTTCACAAAGTACCTCTCTCATAAAAAATAAACCCACATTCTTCCTAAATCATTTTGTATTTTGCTTTATACTTTAATAGAATATTTTAAATGTGCGGTTCATAGCACTCAGTTGCCAAACTCATTAGATAAATTCTTTCCCTAGGTCTTATTCAGAAAGTTAAAGAAAAACAGCCTTGCTTTTCATAGATAATGAGGATATGCTGCTCTCTAAACAGCTGAGAAAATACCTTTATCAAAAGCCAGTATACTTTTTCTTTGCATGGAAAACTAATGCAGACAGCATACAATGCATTTAACTGCTCTTAAAATATTTTTCAAGTGATATATGTTCAACTTAAAACATAGCACAAATCTTTCTAAGCACAGGAGAGAGAAAAATTCATGCTATATTGAATTATATAGTTAATATAAAACCAGTGACTACAAAATCTATTGTAGATGACTCATCGGGAAGGGGAGAAGTCTACCTAGCAAGACTGTATGTAGTCTACTCCCAATGCCTTTCAGTTATTCATCCCAATGCATGATTTCATAAATTCAAATTGCTTCATCTGAAGAACACTGTCTGTTGAGCTTGATATAGATCAACAAGTTCATTTATTGAAAGATACCTCTGACATTAAAATAGATGGGTAAAGCTTTATAAAGCACTTCTGTACAAGTGTAATGGTCACTTTTAACTACAACAGAAAAAGCCAGTGAAGGTGTATCTGTTTTGTCAGCTTTACTGACTCTTTCAGAATCCTAAAGGCAATGTTCTGGCAACAATAAAGAGAAGGCAGTGTCAAAGCCTCCTCAGGTTGTCTCTGACCTCCAGGCTTTTCATGCACTAATATATGGCATGCTCACTTGAGTTTACCACACAAAGCAGCAAAATGCGTATCAGAGCAGATAGCTCTTGCCTGCTGCTGTGCTTTTATAGCTAAGTCCTTCTATGCCAGCCAATAACCCATGTCTGAAAAGTGCCAAGAATTAATTAGTGGTGGCCTTCTTACACAAGCAGTCCATCTCCTGTTGTAGTGGTAGAACAATCACATCTTGTGGTTTCTAAATACATCTTGCCATAGGGACTGCTCATGAAAGATCCTTCCTTCCTCTCTTCTCTTAGTGAATAATCTCAGTTATTTGACAGCTCTGTGTGGGGAAACTTTTCGCTGCAGCATACAAAATGTACAGCTAGGAATATCAAATACTTCAGAAAGAGGAAAATAATATATTTGTTACTGAAGCATGCATGTTAGGTTCATTAATAGTATATTATTGTGGTAAAGAAAAAAATATTTTTATACCCACAACAAAACATGGACCTGCAGAACTTTTCAAGCAATCTTCTAACAGCTTCATGCGAGTCTTCTGCAGCTCAGGACTGTCCCATTCATCTGCCTCGACTCCCCAGTATAAATCTATGACCTGGAAAATAGTATATAATGTTGTTAATCTATTATTTGCTCTTTCTCTCTATCAAATTAAAAATTAACTTTGATGGCATGTTGTGTGCTGCTAAGCTTTGTTCTGCAATGCTGTGAAAAGCAATGAGATCTACCACCAGTCCTTAAACAGACTTGCAGTTTTTCCTTAAGTAACAACAATCTGAGCCTCTATTTCCCCTCAGAGACTTTTTTCTCTTTAGATTGTAAGTACACTTTAGGACTGGGACAGTCTCTCATTTTGTATTCATATTTTTGTGCAGAGATTAGCATGACAAGATCTTGATTTGATGTAGTCTTTATTTTCTAGTAGATTGCATATAATGAACAGGTAAGAATAATGACAAAAGCACTGACAGAATGCTGGCTCCCTGGAAATTAATGGGAGTTTTGCTATAGATCTTATTCAATACTATGACTTGACACCCTGTGTCGCTTGTAGCCATAGGATATAAAATCATCCAGTGCACATAGCTCTAAAGAAAGAATATGTGCAGTTCTGTAATATCATACTTCCTTTGTTAGTTGCCCTTTGTTACTTTGGGAGAAAAAATTGTACAGATATGCAATAGCAGACAGCTTGCTGTTCAGCCTTTCATTTATAGCTGCAGACTTGGTTTTGTGATGGTAATGGATTGCAAACAAACTCTTGGAAGAAACTGGAATATAGATGCTAAATGTATTTCAAGAAATTTAGGGACAAAGTGTGATTTCACTGTATATTTTACCTAAAAGGCTGAATCTTTAATGTGGCCAATTGAATTTAAAAGAATAGGGATTGTATGCATACATTTCTTACTACTGGAATAACATTTATGACACATGCTACTACATTCTAATTTAAGCTACTGTTACAGCTAGCATGTAACTTGAACAAAAAAGCCCAAACGTACAGTTTTAAAAAACAAAATCAAAATTGTATTAAGACATGAATGATCCCAGTGTCAGTTATTATATTACTTGTATCATGGGAGCACTCTGCTCTTACTGTGAGGAACACAAAACTGATTGTTGTCTAAAAAGATCCTAAAATCAATCTGAAGGTCTAATATAAGAATTAATAGTGAATTGCTGTAAAAGTAGAAGTCAGAGGTGTACAGCTGGTTAATCAGCTTGGGAAATTTCTCCTAATAGTAAGTGACAAGGCTTAAGAAGCTGTCATCCTGGAACTACTTATGCCAATGTTTAACTTTATTACTTATTTTCCTGTTGGCTTTTTCAGGCAGAAAATTTTGGGACCTATGGTGGTATTTGCTACAGTAGGAACCTTGATGTCAAACACACCGGATAAGGCACTGTCTGACTGATGATGAATGAAACAGCCCTAAATATGAATGCATTGTAACTTGCACTGGCAAAAAAATACTTCTAGCATCCTTATTTTTTATAGAAGTTTTGTTCCAAGACTTTGCTGAAACAAAAGTCTTCTGCTTTATAAAGCTGCTTCTGAAACAGCTTTCCTATCTCCCTCATTTTCACTAATTTCTTTTCTGTCCTTTTCTAATCTCATTAGGAAAGAGTGTTCCCAGTTTCTCTCACCCATCTGTTATTTATCTATATGACTTCATTACTGAACTTCATATTGTATTCAGCTGTCTCATTGCTTGAATGATATACAATAGAGCTAAAGTATTCTAGTCATAAAATTAGAGCATTTTAGCATATTGTCAGAAGCATTTGAATTAGTGATTGAATGAATTTATTGTACTGAAACATAAAGGAAATTTCTATTTTAATTAACTGTTCAGATATCAGATAATACTGTAAACGTGAAGAGGAAATTATCTGGATATTGTAGCAGTTTGACACCCACCTTCCATATGTTGTCAGTTATAGATTATTTTTATTCAGTAACTTAATTTTGGTGCATAGTATCTCAACGTGTGTTATAATTTTGTCCTACAAGAAGATGTATTTTAGCCATCAAACCGCTGAAGGCACCAGCATTTTCAAAAGGATGAGCTCATTTGTTATCACTTATGCTACCTGAAATAAACAGGATTTACAAAATTAAGGAAATGAAACAGGACAACTATGTCTGATGTTGAACTGTTTTTTTACTCAAACTTGGAGAAACTGCTTGACCTCATCCTGACATTCAGTAGGGCTGTCACAATGAGATGACAGCTGGTTAAACAAGGTGGGCTGATGCTACTCTGGATTACCTCCACACTAGTCAATTAATGGTGACTCTTCACTGATGACTCATTGTTTCCTTTTGCTTATTTTAGCTTTTGATCTACTGAATTCACAGTTTCATAGATTTGTCTAATTACATGGGGTAATTTTAACTCTATCGCTTCCTACTGCTTAAAAAGACCAAAAAAAATTCATTCATGCAGAGATTCTACTTTCAACCTAACAAGTATCACACAGTGAAAATTATTTGAAACAGTCCTTTTTCCCAAGAAGAAAAGAATATTCTGTCCGTTAACTATTGTTAGTTATCCTCCAAAATTTTTCTATTACAATTACTTTCTTTGACCATTCTGTGTCCCTCCACTTCCCCAGATTTTATATTCCAGGTATAAAACACCATGCCTCCTGGAAGTAGGCTTCACAACTTCATTTCTGTCTTAGCCAATACCTGTTTTTCAGCAATATTTGCTGACTCAGTGGAAAAGGAAGCACACTGAACTATAAAATCCATAGAGTGATTTAATTCATTGAGTTCTGCTTCCACGCACACGGTAGCCATGTTCCCCAACAGTTCCCAACAGTGCTAGGATGCTTGACAAATCTCATGTTTTGCAATGCCTGAAACACTTATCATTGGAACCAGATGGCTCAGTGGAAGATGGAACAATGAATGCCCAGGAATGTATTTCACTTAGGTCATGATTTGTCATGCACAGTGTATCTCAGGACAGTCTGTATTTTAACATCTTTGTGGCAGTCTAACTGAGGTTGCACATGTCTGTTTAGTACAGGATTATGTAACAGGATGGAAAGTTACATGTTATGCTCTGTGGAGGGAGATACAAGTTTATCACTCTATCTGAAAAGTACATATTACTTTATGGCCACCACTGCAGTAAAATCTGCAGTCTGGACTTTGCATACTGAGTTAAGAAATACAGTGTATCAGGAGTGGAAAAGGCAGTAAAAGCCCTTTCCCTTGGTAATTTTGTGTGCGAATTTTCCTACTTTGCACTTTTGTGGTAACTTTCTAGTTGTTTCCAGAACTGTGTCAGTGGAGCTGTCTCTCAGACCTCATATTACATATGGATTCTTCTGGTGTTGAAACTGTAAGATAAAACAATTTGCTTTGATGAATATCAACCAGAGTAAACTCAATTATTCCTCCCCTACAGGGTACATTACAATCCATCTGAAGACAGGCATGTTTTTTTTTTTTCCCACAAAGAATTCAATGGATCATTATTTATTTGGAGGAGACATTTCCCTCCTGTCCCAGACAAGTCTCCTCAGAAATGACTGCAAAATTAAGATGCTGAGAGAGTTTTTATTGGCATTTTCCATTATCATCATATGATAGCAGCAGGAAAATGTATTTTCTTATTTCAGTATCTTTTGATATTCCTTGTGTGTACCACTGCAGCTGGGGCTTCCCAGTCAGCTGATGAGCTTGAATCTTCAAAGGAAGTTCTTTTATAGCCTTAATCAGGAATCTCTGTTATTTACCACTATGCAGACTCAACAATTTCATTGCAACCCAGGGAATTAAGACCAAATATCCTAATTCAGGAACTTGTTCTTTTGATTAAAAGCCAGTTGAATGTACATCACAAATAACATTGTGAGGGACAAGATGCTGTTTAAAAAGCATTAGTTTGCTGTCAAGTGAGCTAAACTCTGAAGAGCTGAGTTTTGGGAGTCATTAAAATGGGATGGTAAAAAAAAATATTAGTATCAGAGAAAGGCTTGAAGATTTATAACCAGATTTTTAAAAAAACTGCATATTTTTACAACATTGCAAGTTGCATTTGTTACTCTTAAGAGAGAGCTAGTTCCACGCCAGCTGACATAAATGGATCTAATTGACCTTATTGGACTGTGAATTTGTCTATACCTGACTTAAATGTACCAGTGATTTAACTGTGAAGTCAAATTCAGGCACTTTAAATCAAATGCAACTCTATTTTTCACTAACTGGCACTTTCCAAAGATGTCTATGGGTTTTCCATTATACAAAGTAAAACCTGAATGGACTGAAGCAATGGGAATTTTATGGTTGACAGTAAAGGAAGCAAATTCTGTGGGATACAATCACAACAGGAATTTTGTTTGGATGTTCCACATTCAATTCTGTTTTTAATCAGTGTTTCAGCGTTCACCTGGTTATTTTCCACATTACAGTGGAAGACAAATCTGTAGGTAGATATAACAATTATGAAATGACACAGATGGTGCAGTGCAATGCTGATGACATGAAATAAAAAATATTTTGCAGGCGTGACATTAACTTCAGTATGATTTCTAGAAGCAGAGCACAGTAACTCAGCTCTGATATTATTTATTCTTGAGTATTTAAAACAAAGGTGGTTTGATTAAATTCCCAATGTGAAAGTTGGCACTTTGTTCCTATATTGCTTTTTCCACCAGTGAGTTTTTTTCATCTGTTCTGGATTTACCTCAAATCTTCCTGTAAGATAGTTTAAGTGAATCAGTGTGATACAATTAACGTATGAAATACATTTTTCTGTAATTTTATATTTGACCAGTGGTAAGGCAACAATTACAGTAATTAAAAATATTATCAATTCTAAATACAGCTAATTGCAAGAAACTGTGTTTATCTTAAGACAAGATTCAATAAAACCTACCTGAAATTCCAGCCCATAGTTTTCCCTGCAGAATTCTCTCAGCTTAGGATACACGTGCTCTCTTAGAGCGCTCCTTTCTGCTATGGTATCTGTGTTGGAAAAAGATGTTATTAATATATTTAATATTTAAATATTATATATATATATATTATACAATTAATATATATATATATATTAAATATTTAAATGAACTTTCTTATTTTTAGTCAGAGATCCAGACTATTACATAAAAAGAGCCCTCATAGACCTATACCTGTAGTGGAAAACTAGTGCTGGGATTTAATTTCCCATCTCTGTGTTGTACTTTGTTCTTTTTCACACCAATGACTTTATGTGTACAATGGTAACTTCAATAGTTATTTTCATATTGCAGCATATATTTCAGTAAAATGCAGCTGAATTAATTTTGCCATTCAACAGTCAGAATTTCTTTACCAGTTTGACTTCTATTTAATTCTTACAAAGATGAATTTTATTAATTAGAAACACCACAGAACAAAGAAATATGCAAAAAATGTACTTAGAAATAAATTAACCACATTAATTAATGACATTGTGTCAAATGCTATTACTTTCTTCAACAACTTCAATTTGATAGTACTATAAAAGGAAGAAGGAAATGACAACATCTTATTTACGGTGTCTCTGGGTCCAGGTGATTCCTGCTACTACACTAAATGCACAGCTCTGATATCTTCATCTTATTCTCACCATGCAAAACAATGATTTTTGATAACACATTCCAATAAAGTAACTGGATGCAAGAATTAAGTTAATTTGAACACGTTCATATGAGGCACATAAGAAACATACTGTCAAATTTGAAATAAATTTGTTTAGCACAGAGACCTTGTATAGATAATAAACTTTATTGTCTCTCCAAGTAAGATTAAGATATGTGATGGATTACATAGGTCTAGATTGTGGCCAGTGTTGAGTAAGTTAAGACACAAATGGATGACACTGTTGCTGTTATTTGCAAAAGTAAAGCACAACTGTTGTTAAAATCACTAGGTCCAAGGGCCATATAATGGAAAACAAAAACAAAACAATGTTAATTTATGAGTGATGGAGAATATCTACTGCAGTTAAGGTAACATTTGTATAACTGCACTGATACAAAATAATAGTTTAAATCTGCAGTGCAAAGCTTCTGTGCATCCAAACTGAACGCTACAACTAGGGCAGGTCTTCTGAGCTGCTTGAAGAGGAGTGTAGCTCCACTCTTCCTCTTTACATTTCCCTCTTGGCAAGTTTTTTTCTCCTTGGCACTGGAGAGGCCACACAAGGAGTGCTGTGCATTCTGGACACCCAAATCAGGAGAATGAGAAAGAAATTGGAGAGGCTATTGAGACAGTCATGAACTCAAAGCCTACAAGTACCTACTGAGGGATTTGACCTTGATTAGTCATGCAAAGTGGAAATAACCCTGGCTGGCCTACAACTACTTCAGTGTAGTTCAAAGATGGTGGAACCAAGTATTACAGCTTGGGAAGCTCATGTGGCATAAGGAGAAGCTTTTTTTATGCAGGCAGGTGATGCATCATTGCCATCAGCTGCCCTGGGAATCTCTGTCCCAGGAGTTTTAAAGTCTCAACTGGACAAGCCTATTGTTGCCCAAATTAATGTTGGCAGCAATTCCAGAGTCCTGATGACCTCCTGAGTCCCTCTTGCAACCAGCAATCTATTCTCTCAGAAGAACCCATAGGTATGGCTTCATCATACAGTGTACAGTGCTTGGGAAGATTTCTGCTACTGTCTGTAGCAGAACAAGCAAAACTATAGAGTAAAATAGCTGGTGCTAAAGATCATGCAGTACATGTTTAGGGGCATTTTACTCCTCACTGAGTTGAATCCTCACAATTATTTGGTGTGCATCGGGTTCTAGAGTTGGCTTCATTTGACATATGTCACATATTTTTTTCTTCCTCCAGCAGATACTGAGGCCCCCTGATCAACCGTTGATACAATAGATTCTAATTTCCCCAAACAGATCTGACAAAACTGTGTCGTATCAAAACATTTTCTTAAAAACCAACTTACTACTCTGCTACCAAGCTAAAACAAAATGATTCTTGCCTCTGTATAAACTGAAATTAGTCACAACTGTGCTTTCATTATTAAGGAAGCACCAACTCACAGGTGTGATATGCCCTTACTTAAATGATCAGCGTGACAGCAGATAGATCAGTCTTACTAGGGAACTAAAATAGGCTAAGATGCAGGAAAAGAAAAAAAGATTACTGAGAAAAGGCAAAAATTAAAAGTGAACATTGGACGATAGATGGGAAATGCATTGCCTGAGTTGTACAGCAAACAAGATCACATTCTGCTGCTTTCCAGCTGTGCCCACAGGACACCCTGCAGAACCCCACTGACTCCACTTTTAGGATGTGGCATTGCTCCCTGAGGCATTACTTGTAGAGGCTTGCTCAGAAATGAAACAACACATTGCAAGAGCAGTGTGACATTTCTAATACCTTATAAATCAGTCAGAAAGAGACAAAACATTCCTTCAACTAGAATTGTATTCTGGGCAAGGGACTCAGAATACCCATCCTGCATTTTTATTCCTACTTCCAAATTTAATGGAATGTGATTATCTTATTGAAGTTTGAATCTGTTGACTACATTAATGAAATCGAAGAATTCCTGTATTCATAATAATTTGTGAAAATTTAATGAAACAGAATTGCATCTAGTTGAGATGAACTACAGTAATTAGTATGGATGGCAGATAAGCTGCTTTAATTAAATAAAATCTAATCTGATTTACACTGACAGCAAATCTGTGAAGCTGGCAGTTCCCAACAAGGATGTCATGGAGTCAAATTCTGCCTTCCAGGATGCTGCAGCAGATGAACAGATTAGCTGCATGACATTCTGCTAGCAGACAACATGAGCTGTGAGACAAGCTTTATGCACCTTCTAATTCTGATACTCTGAAATCCAAATGATAGTCCACAATAAACCATAGGAATTCTGCATGTGCAAAAATGTATGACAAGATTAAAAAACAAAGACCCCGAAGCCCATCTCCAATGTTTAAATCAAATTAAAAAATCACGTTGTCTTGCAGTGAGATGGTAACTTGGAGAACCCAAACCTTTCCTACAAGCTCTTGCTGACTGCTGCCTCATGAACCAATCCCCGAGCCACACCGTCCTGCCCAGCCCTACACCTTGCCCCAGTGCAGCCTTAACCTTTTGTTTGCCTTTGTAGTTAGAAATCCATCTTTTATTTTTCTTGACAACTTTTAGGCAGAAGACAGGCACTTCCTGACTTGCCACATAGGCAGTGAGTGAAATACCCTGGCTGGCTCCAGCCTCAGGCCTACTGGAAACCCTCAGAAACCAGTCACTTGGATAAGGCATGCTGCCAGAGTCCTCCCACCCCCCAGCTCTCGCTGCATTCCCAGCTCAAATCTGAGGACAGAACTGAATTAGCACGCACGCTTTTACAGCCTCTCTGCCAAATAGTAGGCAGTCACTGTTTAAGCACGACTGTGTGTGTGAGGTGTGATTTCTGAAGGCTTGTAGCTCAGTCAAATCACTGCCAGTTTTCATTAGAGTACTCCAGGGTGCTTCTTCTCACTGTGAACTATTTCCATGCCAAAGTTTGACCTTCAAGCACAAGCTGTTATCCTATTAAACTCGCTTCCCCTATTTTCAGCAAAGAAAGTACATATTATATTCTCATGTTAGTAAATAGATGATGAGTATGTACAAACAGTCACCAAACATTAATCTCTGGGATAAAACATGTCATGGGAAACAGCCGAGTTAAAAATTTCAAAATCTACATGGAAACAAACAGAAAGAGTGAATGTTGAAACCCTGTGGAAATTGTGCTTTTCCAGTTACTCTGCTCTCAGCCCGCATGCTACCCAACCTCTGCCCTCACCAGCGGCTGCAATGGTGGAGTCATTCCCCAGCAATGGAAATGCTGCTTCAAAGCTGCATTCACACCATGACTTTTATTCGATCAAGACTTGACACAGCTCCATGAGAAGGCTGCTGAGCACCATCTCGTTTTTGTGTGTATGCATGGCATTGTTTCACCTCTGGTCACCCAGGGAAGAACTGCTCTCTCCCTGTGTACACAGAAGCAGCAGCTCTCATGTCACTTCTGTGTGCTCCATGTCTCAATGTGTCACTGAGAAGATCATCAGGGGTCCTGGCCTCACCTCTTTCATGGCCTGCTTCTTTGCCAGCTTTGTTTGTAGCATAATGCCCACAAATAGGCTTACTTTAACACAATTTGTGTGCACTGGTGGAAGTCTAAGACCCTGAATGAGCAGTGGACAGATTAAACTAGTTTTGAGTGCATATCCATTAAGAGATCTACCTATTTGCTTCCCTTAGGTATCCTAAATGCTTATATTTGCCATGTTGATAGGATGGATTTTTGCCGTGGGAACTTTTAAATGCATTACAGTACTAAAATGCCACTACTGTATAATCTTTGTCTACTGACTGCAGTGAATATCCATGAATTATCTAAAGATACTCTGCAAATAAGGTTAAAAATTACCTACCAGCAAATATAAGGAAGTGACTGCCAAACTTCTTAATGTTAGTATGCTCTCGTCATATACAACTATTCAACTGAATTATTCCTTTTACACTGCCTTTTTTTTTTTTTTACTAATACTACACAATAGCACTGTGTATTACCCCTGTAACTAAAAGCTCTGAATATCAATGGTTAACAAATGTCTCTAAATATTGTGGAAACCTTGTCTCTGAAAATAATACCATAATAGTGTCATTTGCATTTCTATAGTGCCTTTCATCTGAAAATATCAGAGCACTTTGCAAACAATGAGTTTGAATCATGTAGCTGCTACAGAGGTAAAAATGACTTGAGCTTCTCAGCATCCTGACTTCCTACAAAATTAACTCTAAAAGCTGTTGGCATTTCCTTCCCTTGGGATTTCTACACATGGATAGTATTACAATATGCATTCCAAGCTACCCAGGGCTCTTTTGAGATAGACTACGAAGGGAAACAGACTGGTCTAGGTTCTCTCTTTCAACGACCCTTTCTCAAACAGCACTGCCAACCCTCAGTTCTCTACCTCCAGGTC